AAGGTGAAGGTTTTTCCTTACCACCGTCGCCTTAGCGGTTACTTGATAAGGTTCAGGATTAGCTATACAGATAAAACTGAGCAAAATAGAACATTCTATTTAAAGCCTGTATAACCTCGTGGTGACACTTGATGAAAAGTTACATGATCACTAGAGTCATATTCAGGACTCAGACTTTGAGGGTCTTGAATATCTGCCTCATATTTCATCGATATCCATCCATCATGTGCTGAGGTGTTTGATTCAAATAAAAATGTATCAACCATATTTTGGTGCAAGAAGTGTTTCCTCACAATTATTAAGATTCATCCATTGGAGACCTTTAGATATTTGGAGAAAATGGCCATAATCCAATTGTTTTTGAGATATGACAATGGTGGATCAACTAACTAAACATTACAGAGCTCCACATTCACACATATTATACCCTTGGGAGAAACGTAGGTACTGTCCTAGTTTGTTTCTTTCATAAAAACATCTGCAATCTCTCAAAGAGTCAAGTGAAACCTGTATTGTTGACCTCATAATGCATTAATACACACACACAGTGACATATGCCTCATTTCACAAGACATTCCTGGAAATTAATTTCCTGGAAAGTTGCTGTAACCTTATCCCCTGCTTCCTTGGCACCTATCCTTACTCTCACCTTTAACCAAGGCTTCACCATAAAATGTAATGATTTATGCAAAAGGGACATGATTTTTTCTTTCCAAACAGAAGGCCGGTCCCCACTATGTGACTATGCAAACTGATTTATATCTCCACAACATGAGTAACACAATTAGACACACAAACAGAAGCCATGAGTATTTTACCTTTCTGTTCCACATGATTATTGCTCCTCAGCCATTATACGTTATCTGAATGAGACAGCGTTGTAACACTGTCTGACAGGCTTGAGTTTCAAACGGTCAGTGTTCTTTTCTTTTATCACGTCAGTCAGACAAAAACAAAAGGAAAATCAGTGTGAGCCTTCTAGACTGAAGTATCATGTTCAAGGTCAATAAATATTTTGTGCGTCTGCTCCGGGAGAAAGCTCAGTCTGCTACTAACTTTTTCCAGTCCAGCACGGGACACTGGAGCCTGAAAGTCCTCCAATCCGATGGGTGTTTTAATCCCTCACTCACTTTCCTTTTCTCTTTCTTCTCTGTGTTGTAAGTTGTAACAAAATTTTAAACATTTTTGTCCCTCAGATCTGGTCAGAGTCTTTATAGCGAGTTTTCTTTGCAGTTCTTTGGTTCTTTTAGAAGATTAAAATATTAAATAATTGAGCTATTACATTATTGATGGGTTGGGGGGTGGGGGGGTGGGTGTTGCATCAGATCAATTTAAAGTTTGACTGATTTTGATAAAGTTTGCATACACTTAAAGCTAGCGTGGGCTCCTCTGATCTTCCAAAGCTGACGAGGTTATCAGATTTTCAGCTGAAGTGCTGGTGGTAGCATAAGCGGACAAATTCTATAAGCATGTGTGAGACCACTGACTTTGTGATTTCCTTTAAAGCCTGTGTGAGATTTGATTTACTTTCCCTCCTGTGCCTTTATCCCCAGTTTTTAAAAAATCCTTTAAATAACAAACAGATTAAGATTAAACCCCCAGGTCTTTGGAGACAGGGCTGTTTCCTCTTATTAATTAAATATTTCTGCGGCAAGTGAAATTATGCAGACTTTAATTACGGGCTCAACAACGGCTGAGGAAACAAAAACAACACCAAACAGAGGCAAGAAGAGAACACAAACAAACAAGCTCTAACATTTGGTAAACACACAGATGCAGAAACTGTATTCTCTCTTCAGTTTGTGTCTTCACGTTTTTTTCCTCTCTTGCACTCACACACACTTTTACACACACACATTAACTAACGCATACAAATGCACACACACTGTGCAGCTGCCCACAGTCGTCTGGGGAGGGACCGGCAGGTTTCCAGCCCGCGAGAATTTATGTTTCCAAATGATTAGAGGCGAGGCGGATAGGAGGATCTTGGAGGCAGCAGCTGCCCGCCCCACGGCTCCAAGTGGAGCAGAAAATCAGGATAATTTCATTGTGATAATCAGCCTCCCGTTATCCCTGTCACTTCAACCCATGGAGAAGGAGAAAGGGAGGAAGCATGTGGGAGAAGAAGTGTGTGAGAGAAAAATAGAAAGAGAGAAAGAAAAGGAGGGAGAGAATGGAGTAGAAAATACAAAAGAGAGAGAATGTGTGCTTCATGCTTGGTTAGCTGCAGAATATATGCACATGTTTCTGAGCAAGTTGTGGAGTCTTTGTACTATACTTGTGGAGACCTGCATTCATTCCCAGTTCCCTCCTCCTGTCTCTTTACTGCCTTTTCACCACAGTCACAAAATTCCACCATACAGATAGTTTTGGTTTTATTTGCCCAACATTTACAAGAACGGTTGCTGCGATTTATCACCTGGATTTTGATTTTGTGATGCTCAGTTGGTTACTGTAATTTGAAAACTCCACAGCATCAGCTTGTGGGAAGCAGCGAAGCTTGTGGACATACGACTAAACAAACACTGAAACCCTTGTCTTTATTCTATCAACAGCTGATTTCTCACCTCAACTAAACATTTCCACCCCCTCCCAGAAGTCAGCTGCTATAGCACAGTACAGATTTCACAGCACACATTTCTTTATCAAAGGTGTTGTTGTTCTCAGCTGTGATTTAGAAACTATCTCACCATCAGTGTGCGTTTGTTTTGGGAGGGGGATGTCGATGAGTTTATGTTGCTTGTAGCTCATTTTTTTCTCACTCTTACCCTGTTCTTTTCATTTATCGTTTCATATCTGTTTCTTTGTGTGGGAATCTGACCTTCTGTTCAGACTTTTTTGTCCGTTATACTGTGACGAGCTGCAGTGTTTAGACTGGCTTTCTTTTCCATTCTTTTCCTTTGCCTTCCTTTCTCTGTGTACTAAGAGTTCTAATGATTTCCAACAGCTTTTGTTGAGAATATGATCCAAGCATTACACTGTTATTGCTTAGAAATGCCACATTTTAATGTCAAAATGTATTTGAATAATACATTTCTTACAGGTCAATGCAGTTGCTTTATAGGTGACAAGCTAATAATGCAACACTGTTGGAATAAAGCTCACAAGAAATGAAAATAATTAAACAAACTCACTCCCTTTGTTTTGTGTACACAGGTAGGATGCAAGAACACACAGACAGGCGAAGAAAAAAAAACACATCCTGGGAAAGACAAAGCCCTTCTGGCTGACTGAGTGTCTGACACTGGAAACATCTGGCAGTGACACATGACAGACTGTGTGCTGTCCGAGTCTCCTCGAGTCCATTCAGAGCGACAAACTGTCTATCGTACTCGCAGACTCACTGATCGGACAGGCTTCACAACTACACCTACGCAGAAGCGGTGTTCGTGTGTCTTCGTCTCCGTGTGGGCACGTACAAGGAACGCTTAAGTGTTTGAGTCATGTAGTTGTGACCCAGCCTTCACCTTGAATGGCGCACAGCAGCAGCTATGGGTTTCACATTGACGTTTTTGTACGGAAGCAAGTGATTATTTTCTAGAATATACCAGACTTTTCTCTGATAGTTCTCATGCAGAAAATGTCCCTGAAAAAAAAGCATTTTGACACTTTAAATGGAAAACAAAACACCTGCATGTGTAACTGAATGTGCACTGAAAGAAACTTGCATCATGCTTTTTAATTTCACTTACAGTAACAGCAAATGTTCATCTAAAATAATAATGCTAGGCTTATTGTATGAAAATGTCCCAATAAACCTGACACATTTGAACACAAACATGAGTTTCAATAAGAATATTACATGCCTATGCTCTAATCTTTAAAGCTGTAATCTCCAGACTCTAAATTAAAGTATACCCTCAATTTAAAAACTAAATGAATTTCCACTTATGTAAACTTTACTCAGAAATAAATGCAACATTTTGTTCATTGTTAGTTTACTATCACGTTTGTGCTTTACTGTGCAGAAATGATCCGTGTGCAAAGTTTGACACTGCAAGGACTCATCTGCGAGCCTCCTACAGTGAGACAGGACTTTTTTAGTAAAGAAGAAGTCCTCTTGTTGAGACTATAGGTGACTGCATACAACATTCTGGATTATTCAATATAGGAAATGGAGTACATGTGTTTTTCTTTGTTAGAAAAGCATGTAAGACCCCAAACCTGATTCCAAGCAGGGTGTTTTTACACAACATATCTGAAAGGGATCTTTAAATAGCAATAAAAGGGCCTTCCCTCCATTTAGCCCATATTAACATGATGGCCTGGTGAGCTTTCCAGTGGACGAGCAGAGACAGCGACACGCACACTGTAAAATTAGATTGTGAGCAATTACTCTATTACTGCAGGGCGCACAGACTTCTCCACAGGGAATCAGGTACTGTAACCTTCGGATATGTCACACAACATCCAGCTTTCGCCACACGCCACTGTAACAACAGCACATTATTAACACGATATTTCTTTTAAGTAAACAATAGAAATGCTGCAAATATTTAAATCACTGTACGACATATGGACAATTTCTGCAGGACTTTTGTAAAATGTACAATTTAAAGTGCAACCTCACAACTTCTTTCCATCCTTTCCGATCAGATGACGTAGTTTTTTTACGCACGGTACAGTTTACAGTGCAGCACCGCGGAAGTAAGGATGACACTTGTTTTGTGGTTTAGATTGTCTCTTTCGGCCCCACCCGGGCATCCCTCCCTCCTCCTCATCCTCATCCTCCCTCCCTCCTCCTCCACCAGTTTTCCCGCTGCCCGCCGCTTCCCGTGACTCCTCGACCGGAATCACAATATACGGACACCGGCCACATGCGCCCGCACATCGGGTCCCTGCCCCCTGGATACCGGCAGCAGTGGGGTTATTATCCCCTGCATGGTGTCGAGTGCCAACGCTGATGAGAAGGAACCTCGGTGTGTTTTCCCACATCGGTGTGTGCAGTCCGCTCCAGCTGTTGGGAACAGGAGGCTTCAGGAGCGCGCAATCGGACCGGGACGAAAACACCATGAAGTTGGCGATGCTGCTTCTCCTCCTCGTGTCGGTGTCGTGTCCGCTCTCCGTCGCCTCCATCGCTGGTGAGACAAACTCTTGATGCGTTTTTCTAAATATTTCTTTACATATCCACAGGGTTGTTTCTATTTTGAGAAGAGACCATGTGGTGCAACATCCGCGTATAAAAGCAACCTCTGGTGACCTCGCCAAACAAAAAGTATCGCCTAAAGACTACTTGCTTATCATGTTAGTTGTCCAAAAAGCATGTTTTGGTTTAGGGTCTTTGCAGCAGTTGTTTCTGTTTGATACTGTTCAAGTGTCTGATGAAAACCCAGTTAGAAGGTGCAGATTTAAAGAGTTCTGCTCAGCTTTACTTCCACATTTAGAGAAAGTGCAATCACATTGTTTCTGGATTTCTAATTATAATTTGAACAATGACGCAGAAATGTACTATTCTGAACCAGCAAAAGTCGTCATATTTGTAGGACTGCACTCCTGCATCAACATGCGTTTTCCAGCAGCAAGCAATATACTGGCCTCCATCTCTGTTTCTGTTGAACTTGATTGGTCATCAGACAAAAGGGAACACAGGTGTCAGGTATCAGTGTCCAGCTCTCTGCACCTGTCCTTGAATGTACAGACAGACCTTATAGGATTAAGTGTTGTTTTAAAATGTTTGCTTTGTGGATACATTACATACATGTACCCGTGAGTCCAGTCAGATGATGTCAGACAGATGTGAAGCCAGAAGAGAAAGCAGCAGCAGGTTAAAAGTGAACACTTTCCATCCCTCTAACAAATTAGATCTCCCACTCGATGTCCCCTGTGTCTGACATTAGAGCTGTCTACTATCAATGTTACACTTTCTGTCACTCCAGAGACCTCACATCACCTCAGGCTGACTAATGTGCTGACTGCTTCTGGACACAGCTATATTATCCATCCAACTCAATTTGTAACTGTGCAGAGCTGTATCATTCACTCCTCATTCTACTTGTGCAGGACAGCATCTGCCTCTGGGTTCTGACTGCTGTGATTTGTCAGGGAAAGGACATATTATGTAGTATTTTTTTTCATGTCTACACTTACAGTCATGAGCAAAAGTTTACATGCACTTGTAAAGACCATTGCAGTTTTAAGTTTCCAATGACTCCTATAATTCTGAGAGTTCTATGATGGATTCAATGAAACACGTGCGTATTTTTCACAAAAAACAATCATGCATTTTGGTTCTTTCATTGATTTGTTGTTGGGGTTTTCTGAACTATGACAAAATCTGCTGGGTCAAAAATATGCATACAGCTATGCTAGTATTTGGTTTAACATACCTTGGTAATTTTCACCTCAACTAGGTGCTTTTGCTAGCAGTCCACAAGCTTCTGGTTCAGTGACACTGCTTGAAGATGTAGGAAAAAAGGTTAAAAGTGGAAATCTTTTCAATTAACACAGGATGCTGCCAATGAAATGTGTCTTTCAAGTGTACGTCCTTCACCAGCTATTTAACTGACAGTGGTACCACTGAGTTGAAATTGTGATAAAAATAATACAGTACATGAAATATGTGCTCAGCTGCTGGCACCAGAAAGACATTAGTAATTTGAAATGATCTACTTTCTAGCCCTGTCTATTTAAATGGCAGAAGTAGGCTGGTGATGGCGAAGGATGGCCATCGTAGGAGAACAGATGTTAATCTACTTGTCTTGTCTGTGTTCCAGCTCCAAATGAGTTTGTGTCCTTGGCAGAGATGGAGGACGCCCTCCTCAAGAACCTTTTCCAGGGCTACCAGCGCTGGGTCAGGCCCATCCAGCGCGCCAACGACACTGTTAGAGTGCGCTTCGGACTTAAGATCTCTCAGCTGGTTGATGTGGTGAGATGACACTTGCAAGCAGAAACACGTTGTCTACATTTGTCTCCAACACCTTACGTTTGTCCCCTCTGGCATTTATGTCTTCATTGGACAGTGATTTGAAGAGGCAGACAGGAAAAGTGTCAGGAAAAAGAATAATGACATGCTATGTTGAAATACGTAACCACGTAGCGACTGAGGCGCCTCACACCTCTTTACTTTAATGCACAACTGAGCATCTGCCCTTAAGTTAATCTGAAGCAAATCTTTGCAATATTTACCAAACACTGGATGTGGCACAGATACACTTCCCACAAAACTTGAACCATTAACATGGGCACGTAGTCTATTTTGCAGTAACATACTACTCAGTAACTCTGCAACAACAGCAACACATTACGATTTACTTTTTGCTTTGCTTAAGTTTGCTGAAAACCATATTGATGAGGTGTTTTGGTAAATCATTTAGCCCTTAATTAACTTAAACCATTGCATATTTGGGAAACATTTCCATCTTTAAAAAATCTATAGGGGCTGAGAGCCACAGCCATGTCTGGGAAGTGGGGAAGTATTGAAGGATGGAACAACACGTTGTTGATGTTGGTGTTTGTATGGGATTTTGTTGACGGCAACAAAACAAGAATATTTCCCACTTTAAACATTTAACCACAAAAGCAATTTGAACACTTAATTTGTAGGAAAAAAAACACTCTTCAAAAAAGAGATTGATTTAACATATACAAACATATGAGCCGAGAACTAAAGTTAGAGGTTTCTCTGTAGTTTCTTCAGTGTCACTGTCCATGGTGCTGAAGCCAAACAGGCCACTGGCAGCGGCACACTGTGGAGCTTTCCATGGTCCTGAAATAGATCCAGTACACTCTCCTCATATCTACAACTACACAGCCGCTCTCCAGAGTGTTGCTTTAATATTTCAGAGGCTGGCTGTGATAGGCTGAGATGGTTTAGGTGTTCAAAAGGAGAAAATGGAGAATCCTAATGGAGGAACCACTTTTCTTGGCTTGAAATATTAATCTCAACAAGTTCAGATTGAACTCCTCATCCCTCCTCCTTTAACTAAAGACAACCAAGACTGAAATAAATAAGACCTCTTTTTTTGTTCATGCTGGATTCGAAGATGTAGGTTGATCTGTTGGATTTTAGAATAAGTGAAAGGGCAAAAGAGCTAACTGTAAACACAGCAGCTTGGCCACAGTGTTTATGTCCCCTGAGTCCGTCTGAGATGCTGCATGGCTCTGTATTAGATTATGGTTCACCTCTGGTATATGTGATCACCGAAACATCCAACTGACTCTGACAGCTGAGGTCTGGGCTGGATACCCTGAACAGCTTTCAATGCGCTTCTTTCACTTTTGGCACATTTATTTTCTCTAAAGCCTTTTCTTCTCAGTCTCCTTTTTCCGTCTCAAACTTACCTCCAGTGATGCGGAAATAAGCCGGAGTTAACCGCTCTCCATCCCTCCGCTCCTGTCTTCTTCTATTTACCTCTTGATGTATTTATATTGCTCCAGCTTGGTCCACTGCACCCACCTTTAGTTTGATGTTTCTTGCTTGCTAAGGAAGTGGCAGAGACGGGTAAATGAGATTCTGTGCGACTCCATGGAACGGATGGTTTTGTTTACCTCTAACCAAGCTTCTCATGTAGTCTGCTAATCTATCTAATGTCGTGATGTAACGCTCAGATCACAAAGCTCAGAAAGCATTTTTGCTGTAAACATTTTATATAACAAAAGTACAACATAAAATCTGTGTAAAATAACTTTAGATAATCACCAAGTACTAACATGCTATGACAGATTGTCAGGCAGAGGGTACATATACCTACAAAAACACACCAATTAAAAACACACCATTCAAACTAACACAGCTTTCATATCATAAGAACACAGACAATATTTTGACTTTATATCAAGACTTGCTGTTCGTATTTTTGATCATTAAATGTGCTTTTAACCTACATTTTGTTATATTGTCTTTTGGTTATTCCCTTCTTTTTAAAGATCAATCCTTTTGTCTGCTTGTTTGTCTGTTTTAGGATGAGAAAAATCAGCTGATGACAACTAATGTTTGGCTGTGTCAGGTAAGACAACAGAAATGAACTGAGGCTACAAGATCATCAATTGCAACACTAAATCAAAAAAAAAAAAAAGGACACATATTGTCATCATATTTTTTTCAGATAGGACAAGAAAAGGTTCTTTCTGATTAAATGACCTATTTTTATTATTAGCTTAAATAAGCCTAAGTCTGTATAAGAAGAATGAAACCAGAATGGAGAATTTTGTAATTTAATATGTACATTTGTTTATTTTTTTTAATACGTTTTTTGTGGCAATGTCATGATAAAACATCCAGATTAGAGTCAGAAAGAAATAGTTTAGTATATGTCTGTTTTGGGTGGTTTAGTAGCTGAAACTGGTAAATTGTGTGACTTTTTTTGGGCAGGAGCAGGATAATAATGATAGATAATAGTGTACGATATGGATTTAATGGTGTCTTTTTACAGAACAATCAATATGGATGTCAGTTTAACTGTTGTGAACTAAAGTAAATATTTATTTAGTCATTCCGATTAATGTAAATGCTATTAATTTTTGTGAAGCACTGACAGAAATGATCTTGTTTACACACAAAAAAATCTGACTAAAAGCAGTTGATTTTCTGGATTTTTTTTATTTGCTGCATTTTTGTTACTATTTATATAACTGTTGATAAGTGATAGACGGGGAAGACAGAAGAGATAGACGACTTTCAGGAAAATGATCTCTAGTGAAAGAGATCTAGCACCAGGGTCATGAACCTGTTAATGTGTTTGATTCATTTTGACCCTGTTAGTGCAGATAAAGACTATTGCTTAATGTTTTGCATAAACCTAATAATATTTACCACCCCAGGAGTGGATTGATTACAAGCTGCGATGGAATCCAGATAAATATGGAGGAATCACGTCCATCAGAGTTCCTTCAGAAAATATCTGGCTCCCAGACATCGTCCTGTATGAGAAGTAAGACTGAGCTGATGTTCCACAAACCAACTGACTGATGTTACTTCATGTAAAATTTAAACACTCCACCAGCATGAAACGTGCATGAACAAAAACTGAATGTTATTCATGTATTTTATATTGGTTTGTATAGAAGATGTAGTGAAAGTTTAATACTCTAATCTTATCTCTAATCTAACTAAAACAAAGGTTATGTAACACTAAGCTGGGCTTTAAAGTGCTGCTTTATAGTAAAGACAATATACACATTTCTGCTGTATACCTTTTTTATAAAACAATACATTTACACTATAAAAGATGCATAAAAAAGATTAATACACTAAATGTAACTGCAAGTTATCTATGAATGCAATTCTGATTCTGAAGACCAACAGATATTTTCTGACTTTGCTCCATATTTCCTCAGTGCTGACGGGCGGTTTGAAGGCTCCCTGATGACCAAAGCCATTGTGAAGTTCAACGGTGCCATCACCTGGACGCCACCTGCCAGTTACAAATCCGCCTGCACCATGGATGTCACCTTCTTCCCCTTTGACCGCCAGAACTGCACCATGAAGTTTGGCTCCTGGACGTACGATGGCAACATGGTGGACCTGGTTCTGATGGACAACCAGGTTGATCGGAAAGACTTCTTTGATAACGGGGAGTGGGAGATACTCAGTGCCACTGGTGCTAGAGGAAACAGGAAGGATGGCTTGTATTCCTACCCCTTCATCACATACTCCTTCATCCTAAAGAGGCTGCCGCTGTTCTACACGCTCTTCCTCATCATCCCTTGTTTGGGTTTGTCCTTCTTGACCGTCCTGGTGTTTTACTTGCCCTCAGACGAAGGAGAGAAGCTGTCGCTCTCTACCTCCGTCCTCGTGTCGCTCACTGTGTTCCTCCTGGTCATCGAAGAAATCATTCCCTCCTCCTCCAAGGTGATCCCGCTCATCGGAGAGTACCTGCTCTTCATTATGATCTTCGTCACTCTCTCCATCATTGTCACCGTCTTTGTCATCAACGTGCACCACCGCTCCTCGGCCACCTACCACCCCATGTCGCCGTGGGTTCGGAACCTCTTCCTGCAGAAGCTTCCCAGGTTGCTCTGCATGCGAGGACACACCGACCGCTACCACTACCCAGAGCTGGCCCCAGAAAGCCCTGAGCTGAAGTCTCGCTCTGGAGGTCGCAGAGGAGGCCAGAGGACGAACAGCGGAGTGCACGGACAAACCAATTCAGAGGGGAAGGAGGACGAGGCCTGGGCCACCATGCTGGAGAAAGCCATCTACTCGGTGCGCTACATCAGCAGACACATCCGTAAAGAGCACTTCATCCGCGAGGTGTGTATAGTATCGATCAAAAAATATTAACAAACAATAGATATACACAGTTTAAGGGCTTAAATGTCTGCTTTTTCACAGGTAGTACAAGACTGGAAGTTTGTCGCCCAGGTGTTAGACAGGATCTTCCTGTGGGCTTTTCTCACCGTCTCAGTACTGGGCACCATCCTCATCTTTACTCCAGCTCTGCAGAAGTTCATGAAAATCCCTCCTCCGACTCCAAGTGAAGAGCCACCTTCAAACTAGTGACAATAATCCCGTACTTTCACTGAGGCAACTGAGGAGCCGCCTTCAAGAATCTATAAAACATGTTACCACTGAGCAACAACAAGCCACCAAAGGTACTTTTTACAGCAGTACTTGGACTCTTTGACTTCGTCTCTCAATTCACTGAGTAAATGTTGTGTATGTGTCATTAAGTCATCAGGCCAGTGTGTGTATACATTGTGTGCATATCATTACATGTCAAGTTAGTATGATAGCAGAACATTTTGCTTGGGGATACATAAGACAATCTTAAAGTTGGTGCCACCTGTGTTACTTTTTAGCCTGTTAATTGCCAAATAATAACAACAACAACAAAAAACATGCACATTTTGAGTGTCCAGGTTACAAGACTACACATGCCATTTAATAAAAGTATTGAAGCTAAAACCGAACGAATTTCATTCAGCATACAGTTAAACTGTGTTAAATGCACTGCCAATTTTACTTTTGACTTCCTGCTTGTTTATGTTTCTAAATGGGATTACCTCTCATTTAATGCATGCTAGTTTTCTTGAAATATGTCAGTTTTCATTTGGCTGCAAAATAAGTTTCCACAACAGGACAATACAGTTTAAACAAAAAGCCATCTAAAATTGTATGTTTCTTTTATACAGACACCAATCAGCACAACATTAAAGTCTAATATTATGCCTGATATTGTGAAAAAGTCCCCTGTGCCTCTAATGCACGTCTGGATTGTTGGGACATGGACACAGGACCTCTGTGGGTGTCCTGTGGTGTTTGGCACCAGGATGTTTCATCACATCCTTTGGGTGCTGTGGGTTGTGGGCTGGGATCAGGCTTGTTCCGGCTCTTCCCGTAGATGCTTGATTGCTTTGGGATCTGGGGAGTTTGGAGGCCGAGTCAACGCCTTGGGCTCTGTGTCGTGCTCCTTGAACTGTTCCTGAGCAGTTTTTACAGTTTGGCAGCACACATTGTCCTGCTGGGGGAGGCTGCTGCCATCAGGGAGCACCGCTGATGGAGGGCTGTGCTTTGTGCAGAACAATGTTTAGGTAGGTGCAGCAGAGCATTGCATCGTAATACAATGATCAACATCATTCACTTCACCTGGTTTTGATATTGTGGCTGCTCAGTGTAATTATTTCGTTATTACCTTTCACTTTCATGAAGCACGAAATACCTCTTGCTGTAACTACTTCTCGGTAGTGTACTGCACGAAAAACTAAGTGTCAATACACCAACAACATTTAAACTACCTTACACATTCATCACAGAGGCTGCAACCTTGGATATGTCTGCAAAATTTTTGAAGACGTCATAAACATTAGTGGGGCATTAAGTCTAAATTGGAGCTAAAATTTGTGCAGTTGTATCTGAATAGTTTGCACTGTTTTTCTGTTAAATACTGCTTTCCTGTCTGTCTCATCCTCTTCAGATAGAAAATTCATTTCAAGTGACATCATATAAAGTGTAATGAATGAATTATTTAAGTTACACATTTCTCCAAAATACAGTATTTGTATTGTTCAGATGTACTTTATCACACTAATAAAGGCCGAGGCTCTATTTGTTATCATCATTGCCATCTTTGCTCCTGTTCCATTCAGTGAAAACTGTAGTTGTTTATAATTTGTAATATATTTGGTGAAGGCACACTGATGTCAGATGTTGTAATAAAAGGCCAAGAGAAGGAAAGCACTTGGATAAAATGAGTGAAGAACATGTGCAACTGACAGCACCACCTAGTGGTTAACCTGAGCAATCGTCTTCAAGACAATGAAGAATGCAAAACACTAAACACCCCCCTAAAATGCATTTTATGAAATGAATATTTCTTTCATCATTTTTATGTCTTTAAATCAAAATTCAACTTAATTTGGACCAGAGTTTTATGAGATCTAAGCCATCAAAAGTACAATGTGCAGGATTTATTTCACCCAGTCTCGAAGAAAGACAGGTTTTTGTTTGAATCCTTAATCCATTGTGAGAATATTTTCATTAATTGCATAGAATATATATATGTATATATATTATTTCAAGACAATGCCAGAACTAAATGAATAAATAAACTTTTTTTTTTGCAACAATAAAAAAAGAAAAAAACTTTTTATTGTATTCTTTTAATTAAGGGAATCATTTGCATCATTATTTTATAAACTCATGTGTAAACTCTGTATGAAAACAATACATTTTTATCATATTGATGTGATTTTGACAAAATGGGCATGTTTCACACTCCAATAAGGCATCTTTGTCAAATGTTGTAAAAAAAAAAAAAAAAATCTGTTGAAAAAAAATAGTTTACAGTTTACACAACAGCACAGACACAGTGTTGTATCTGAATACAAAACTAATGCATTCCTTTATAAAAGTAGTTCATGATTGAGGCTCAGAGTAGAGAACATGTTAAAATGCATTTCTGGTCAACCCATAACAAAAAAAAAAAAGTTACATTTTGGGTCTTTACTAATTTAGTAATTTATTTGCCCGCATTGTGTTGTCACATCTCCTCGGTCTTCCTCTTTGTTCTCTACCTCTGGCGACCCGTCAGACTGTCCAGGTGAGCTCGTGCATTGCGGAGCATCTCCATATAGAGTCTGTTGTTCTCACTGCAACCAAACCAGATACATGAAACACACTCAACAGATCTGTTGTACTGAATTGTGTTTAACTATATGCCCATCATAAGCAACAGTTAAAGCACTCAGGAAAGCTGCACTGTTCACTTTGGGTACATGATGAGCTTTAACTGGCAACAACTGTTGAAAAAAACCCCTTCAATTTCTTTGTGCAAGCAGGTTTGATTAAAACTAATTTGGAGTCTGCACTGCCTTCACTTTCTAAATAAAGCATTCCAACACTTTGGTACTTTGTACTTTGAGTAACAGTTTACTGTAATCTCACTCACGTAGCCACAGAGCGGTCAAACATCAGGTTGCTCATGTCCATGTAGTACTGAGCATCTGTTCGGAGGGCTGTATAGTACTCGTTAGCCTGAGGAAGAAAGACAGTTTGTTTTTGAAAAAGCATTCGCCTTGGCTAAGAAAGGTTTGGCTTTTGCAATCCTTCACAAGAGGTTATGCTCAAATGAGGTTATCCTATACATTCACACCACACAGCGCAGTGCTACCTGCTCCTGAACTGTGTAACCCCACTGGTTCTGAGAGTGATGTGGATCCCAGAATCCTGACTGCCTCTTCAGCCTGATGAATCGTTTTGCCTCCTCTTCTTTCACAAACGGGGCGGCAAAAACGCCTGAACACAAAGGTAAAAGAGGTCAACTGTGTTTTAAAAAGAGAGGAAACCACACTTTTACGGCTCAGAGATAGTGAATTACAGGCTATAAAGATTTCACTATAAATAAAAGTCCCTCTTTAACACCTAAAATAACATTAGCATAGAAAATAAGTGTAAAATGTACGTAGAAATCTGATCACAAGTGGCCTGGTTTGATTGAAGTGAGAGGAAATGTTCTGCACATCATAAAAGACTGACAATGATAACACAAATGCATTTAAAGTAAGTGTTAGGTTGCACTAAATTAATTGCTCTAAATCTAAAATATTGACATGTAATGATTAAGGGAAGATACTTACCACTAAAAACAGCCAACAGAATCACAAACTTCATGTCTGTGAGACATTAAATACAGCAGAAAGCTTAGAAGACAAATAGAAATGCATGCAAACACTGTATGCCTGCTCTTGTCTTTTTTCTGGCTAAAAAAAATAAAAGATGAAATAAAGAGCATCGTTACTTTATTTTTAAAAGTACCAGACAGTGAGTTTTACCTGCAGTGTGAGCGGTGAGCTGCTGATGGGCTGAATGTGTGAGCGTCTTCAGAGCTCAGAATCTCTCATCCCAATGTGAAAACGAACAAGAGCCCTTTTCACTGACTTTCCACCAGGAATCTGAAAGGAATGAATGGACTCAAGCATCGGGCACTCAAAGTCACCACTTATCTGGCTGCCAGAGCTCCAGCAGACCATCCAAAACACACACAAACACACACACTGCAGTGCCTCCCATTGGACAAAAGTCGGGCTGTGAGATTCGGCATAAAGATGGCGCTGTCTGCACTAGTAGTCAGTAAACAAACAGTGCAGAACTCTTGAGCTGAGCAGTTTGCGCACGTTTTGACATATGACAGTAATATTATGAGTCATTTAAGCCTTCATCCAGTTTAAAAAAATAACCTTGAGGGCTTACAAATGCTGCTGGGTTGGAACTATAAACTAAGTTAGGCCGGTTTGTTGGTTCTAAAGTGTTTCTAAAGCACTTTAGAGATTAAAATGCATTATAATATCAACCATTTTCACCACAGATTTCTCAATATATAGATAAATTTGTGCTGTGTTGGTGTGTAACCCTTTCATATTATATCATCAGGGTATTTTTTTAATCAGCTGTAACAGACTGAAACTGAATATGTCATTTTTTATTGTCCACAATCATGTTGCATTTAAATATTAAGAAAATTCTGAATGAATAATCTGTTTGTAGTCTTGGATAATATTAATAAGAAATAATTTGGTGCGCATCAACATTTCTTCCACTGGGTGGAGTCCCAACCACAGTTAAAGAGTGGAGCATTCACTGACTCTCTACTTGGCCTTTACCCAATTTGTCATGTAAGCACTAAAACAAAAAAGTGTTTTCAAGAATGTATGCAACCTGTGTCAATAAATTCCAAACATCTGCAGAAGAAAAAGTTCAAAACTTTCAAACACAAAAAAAGCCTAAATTCATTTTATGCTGAAGTAAATTATGTTTAGAAAATAAGGAATAAAAATGACAAAAAATTACATGATGCTTTTAATGAAACCTGAAATATTAACAACATGCACACAATGTAGAATTTGCGAAGGGAAAATAATTAAAAGCTTGTTTTTGAATCAAGGAACGTCTGGCTAAGACTTCAAAAATCTCAAAGCAGCTCCCAGGAGTATGAATCTTGGCTTCGACTTGTTGAGGTGCTGCATTAAGTGTCTCATCCTTTAAAGTGTGAGCCGGAGCCT